TGTGTGTGTGTGCGTGCATGTACGCATAAATACAAATATGCTCAGAAATATATATATGTGAAATCCCGAACAGCGCTAGGTAATATAGTGAATTTACCCTGAATGTAATATCCTAGATTCGAAATCGCAAACTCAATTCAGACTTACAGGATCATAAGTGGTCAAATTACACGCAAATACCAACACCCACCTATCTCTAAGTATGAGCCACCGGAGTACACGCAAAGGCTCCTCAGTACCCCTTATAGACTATCACGTAATGCATAGAGGAAGATATAATCATATATATCACTCCTGTCGATTTCCCACGACTTCCACACTAGGCTCTAATGACAGTTACCATCAATATATATCCAAGCAACAGAATGTATGTAAATACTTAATTCTATGTCAGCACTCAGCACGTAACAGGGCAAAAATAAATAAACACTACAAAAATCAAAAGTGCAAACTCCGCAGCCGGTTCCATTTGTATCAGATTGGAGTAGACGACATAAGATTTATTGCGCGCGTTTTGGAAAAAAAAAAGGACTCATAGCGACTCCCCAGTCCCCACTCCCCACCAGAGAATGGCAGAGTCCCAGGCCGACAGCTATTTTCAATTTCGTGGTTCATACTTTTTGCCTCAGATATTAAAATAAACCAGGTTTTTTATCAAGACGGAGGTTTGTCGCCAATTAAAATATAGAACATGGTCTTTACTCCAATATATTTCGTTTCCAGAAGGGCTGTTGATATCAATTTGCCCCTCTTTTCACTTGTGGGCCTTGCGCTTTTAAAAAATACAGTGCCTTTACAGTTTACACAGCCCTCTCTGGAAAACTGGATATATCAGTCGAAACGCGAAAGTCGAACAGCAATTTTGCAACGGCCCTCTGGAATTTGGATTAGGGTCGCGAGCAGAAATCAGGTTTCTTTCGATGACTCGTACTCGAATTTATATATGCAGAGAGCCAGCACTCTAATTAATATCCAGAGAGCCGTGAATTTTGGCCAACAGCAAGCCTAACCTCATAAAGTTATGGGGTCACTGTATAAACGTTAAACCTAACTGTTACTTTTTGGAATATAAAAGTTAAAATTTTTATTTGGGATAAAGTAATATATGAATTATATATTTGCACTTGAAAAGGCGTCCTATAGATTTCAAAATTTGGGCCTAAAATGAGTTTTAGCCGATCAGAAATGTTCAATCTGACACTTGGTAGTTGGCATTTGGTAGTTGGGACCCAAAAACAGGACAAAATATATATACTCACTGATCTGAATATTGCACCTACAGAATTTGAGAAGGGCTTATATTGGTGTAAAAGGTGTCCTTTAACGTAAAAAACATACAAAAATAAAAGTTATAACTTTTAACTTTATGAGGTTAATAGCAAGCTCGTAAATCGTAATGTATTAATTAAACAGCGCTATGATTTGTCCGATTTGCCTTTTGACCGCAACTGCGCAACATCATCCACCATTCTCCAGACTCCAGAGGGCCGTGCTTTTTAGATGGTGGGTAAATACATACATACATGTCTAAAATATGAATCTCTTATGCCGTATGTAAATACGCAACAAAATATAAATAGTTCGTTCTAATCATAACCTTCTAGATTAGAAAAGAAGACTGTGTTCCAACCGTATGTATATTTGCATACGACAGGATAGATGTGTACTTATACGCGTTGAAAGTGTGACAATTATACTTTTAAACTCAATTATATACTTAACTTGAACACTCTTCTTAAATGATGCAATAGAATGAACCCTGTTCAGTCTGAACTTGCTCTGCTGAAGGATAAGCGTAGAATTAATGTAAACGGTTGCTATGTGGATATTGATATGAACCATGGACAACCCAAGTGACTGCGCACAATTACCTGCTATCATTGTGGATAGAGCCTCGTTGTATCAATCTATGAACGCAATAAAGACGGAGGTCGGGGAGGAAGGCAAGCTACTTGTACTTTATATTCCTGAAATAATGTAGCTGTTCTGGTGTATTCGATGATATTGAGAGCACCAGGATAAATGATAGAAAGTGTTTGCCTTGATTGTCCGCAAATCTCCATGAAAAAGATACAGAATTTCTATTGAGTACGATTCATGAAGTATATA